AGAAAAAAGCTCATAGAATAAGGATATGAAGGAAAAGTAATTTTGTATAACTATACAACATGTTTGTGTTTTAGCTAAGTTATTACAAGAAAGTAAAAAACTATCCGGGCTCGGTGGCTCAGCCTGTAATCCCGCGCCTTCGGGAGGCTGAGGTGAGTGGATTTCCTGAGCCCGTGGGTTCGAGACCCGCCTGGGTAGCGAGACCTCATCTCTACAATAAATAAAAAAAAAAATTAGCCGGATGTGGTAGCGCGTGCCTGTAGTTCCAGCTACTTGGAAGGCTGAGGCAGAAGGATCGCCAGAGCCCAGCGGGTCGAGGCTGCAGTGACCGGGAGCGGCCACTACACTCCAGTCTGGGCGACAGAGTGGGACTCCAACTCAAAAAAAAAAAGAAAGTAAAAAACTTTAAAATGTGTATAATTTTTTAAAAATTGTTGGTTCATTAAAAAATTTATTCGGCAGAGGAGTAAATCAGGTTTCCCCAATTTTTGATGTAACCTATTTAACCAATTTCTAAAAAAATGCTCTGGAGATATATTTGTGAGCTGTCTTGTTATAAAACTAAGAAATTTAATTTATCTAGGCATGTTATAACGGTTCCAGAAAATATTACTTGGGGTCTGGTATTGAAGAAATCTCTGTCGTCATCAGATGCCCTAAGAGCATAATTATAGTTCTTTAATTTGCTTAATACGTTTTCATCTAATATCTATAAGTGATAGAATTATAATGTCCTGAGATGATCCTATGATTAGATTAGTTCTATTGAAGATAATTTATTTTTAAATGTGAACAATATTAAACAGGCTGGGCTAAGAGGCTCAGCCTGTAATCCCACTTGGGGAGGCTGAGTCGAGTGGATTGCCTGAGCCTGTGGGTTTGAGAGCAGCCCGCGCAACTTGGCGAGATCGCGTCTCTACAATAAATTAAAAAAAAAATTAGCTGTGCGTGTTAGCGTGCACCTGTAGTTCCAGCTACTTGGAAGGCCAAGGCGGAAGGATTGCTGGAGCCCAGCTGGTCCACACTGGGGTGGGCCACGGCACTCCAGCCTGAGCGACAGTGAGACTCCGACTCAAAAAAAAAAAAAGATTAAATAAAAGTAATTTGAGAGTTGTTAGGCTAAACTATACAAAGTTGTATTTTCTACCCCCTCCCCCATTTGGCCAGAGTAAAGTCACATATTTTAAAATTTCAGAAATACTTTTTTTTTTTTTGAGTTGGAGTCTTACTCTGTCGCCCAGACTGGGGTGCAGTGGCCACT